CTACTCTCTCTCTCTCTCTCTCTCTCTCTCTCTCTCTCTCTCTCTCTCTCTCTCTCTCTCTCTCTCTCTCTCTCTCTCTCTCTCTCTCTCTCTCTCTCTCTCTCTCTCTCTCTCTCTCTCTCTCTTTCCCTCCAGAAATATTAACCGCTCCGATTGCGCCGCAATTGGCACAGCTTCACGTGCGATTTGATATTTATTGATTTCATGGTGGGGACTGACGTCATCTCGTTTATTATCGACGCTCGGGGGAATGCAGCAGCTTTCCTAAGTCGCGAGATTGGTCCAGTCGAGTAAACTCTACGCGCGATAGCGTTGTAGAAGGATTTTAGCGATGTGTATTCCCCAGGGAATTGATCAACGAGCGTGCGGGATTTCGCGGTTGATGGCAGTACGGGTTTGCCACGATCGCTGACTAGCGAACAAAAGGAAAAGAATGTCGAAAAGAAAAAAGTGATCAATTTAACCTTCGTGACTTTTTCAATACATAATATTTTTTAAATTTATTTTATATATACACATATATATTTAAAAAAAATAAATATAAAAAATATTACGCATTGGAAAAGTCGTGAAGGTGAAATTAATTTATATATATGTTGTATAAAGATTGGCAAGAAAGTAAGACGAAAAACAATTAAAACTGAGTGATTTGGTAATTTTAAACACAAATCAAATGTGTTTCGCGAGGAAACATGAGACGAACGTGAAATCGTGAAATAATGAGAGAGCGTAACGCTAAAATAATGTCTCGTCGTATCGCGCTTGATGTGGCTTCGATAGCAATTCAGATTTCGCATTCTATAATTTAATCATGACTTAGATCCATCATACACAGGTAACTTACAAGGAAAGATTCACAACTGAGAAAATTAAAAGTTATGAAACCTTGGCAATATATGAATAATAATATATCACATGTTATTTTCTACTATTTTCGAATTCACCTTAAAAGAATAAAATTGAGTTTTCTTTCAGTTAAACAATAAAGAAAAGCGATATTTTATCAATGTCTTTATTTTAAACATATTGCGACGCTACACACACACACACACACACACACACACCACACACACACACGCGCGCGCGCGCGCGCGCGCGTATATGTGTGTATGTATGTATGTATGTATATGTATACACAAGATAAAAAAATAAGAATATTAGAAAGATATATCGATTTATCCCCATGGCGACTGCTATTGATAAATAATTGATAATTAATAATAATGCTTATGAATAATAGAATAATCCTTATTAATATTTTATAAAAATACGTAATAAATTTGCTTCATATAATAATTATAATTCATCGTAGCAACATTGCAATATTCTTACAACGTGCTATGGAATACATTTTTTTCAAAAATATACGCAACTATTTATCTCGTATATCAACACATAACTCAAAAAGAGACTTTGATCGACGTTTCATAAACAAGTTGGCACGATTTGAAATGAAAAAAAGACGTGGATTCGTGAACACTTCTGAAATTGCGAAACTCACCGGAAACGGCGAGCAGCGTGATTAATATAAAACGAAGCCTCGACCACATGTCGATCTTTCGCGCGCGGATTCGTACGGCGGTTCCACGCGCGACAGCTCGCACTTTCAAACTGACAGCCGTACCTACGAAAGCATGCCTTATATGACGAGTACCCGTTTCATCGCGCTTAATCGCGCGGATCTCTTTCAGACCGGCTATTTTCACTCGTCTCTAACGATCGCGATACACCTATTTCTAATGTCACATAAACGCTTGATGATACATTCGTTGGCCAATTCGAAGTCGATCAACGAAAACATCGAGTCATTATTGTCGACTTGCAATATTACATATTAGCACCTCTACATAGCTTTAAATTCAAATACTACAAAATAAAATCTATTTAAAATTAATTAAGAATATAATTTCGTTGTCTATCTCTGCACTTTTAAAACTTAATAGTTTGTAAGATTTTTATTTTTAATCGTTAATTTTTAAGAAAGTATCACCTGGCTATTTCTATTTCTATTTCTATCTTCAATTGAAAAAATTATTCAAGATACTAAAGATTTTTATCTGCCTGTTGTTATTTATAAATAAAGTATTTGAAATAATCTATAATATAATTAAATTCTTGTTTAAATTGTATAACGTTTATAAAACACGAGGTTAGAACAAGATGAACTTTTCAAGACTACATAATTGGAATGCAATGTTAGAACTAATTGTATTTATAATTTATGAGCAACCTTTCGGCTTACAAACACTTGGAAGAATTTCAACTACTAAACTAACTAAAACTCAAGATCAAGTTTAACGGATTTCTTAAGATAAAACTGGCAGTTAATTACCTATAAAATCTGCTAGGAGACTTGGATTAAGTACCGGTATAACGGTAACCACATGTAACCACATTGATCGACTTCCTTCTTTCATTTTTTTTTGTATGAACATATTATTCTTGTATGAGAGAGGAGAATATATGTATACAAGTAGAATGAAAGGATTCTCTTTATTGAATATTTATTTTTGTATTTTGTATTTATATCAATAAAATTGTAATTTGTTAAAAAAAACTTTTATTTTTATACGCCAACAATTTAAGAAATTTTTCTTTACTTTAACAATTTATTTTTATTTTTATTGTGCTTATGAGAAATGCATTGTAAAACCAACTTTTCCACAAATTAAATATATAAAAATCTCTTAATATATAAAAAAATAAACATATCTTTAAAATATATCAATTTCAAACAAAATCAAAATTTAAATCAAAATGTTTAATCATAGCGGAACAATAAACGTTATTTTTGGATATTTAGCCTCGGAGGAATGTTGAGAGTCATAACGTGTAAACAATATTCTACTGATCCGACTGATGAAATGCGATCACAATGCTGATGATCACAAAGAGGAGTCGTTTGCATGGTATACACTTTGGACACAAAGAGTAAATTATGCGACACTGAGACACCTTCGAAAAGCGACGATGACTCGCGCTAATTAATTATCTCTCGGAAAGATGAATTGCGTATTCATCACTCTTACGTTTACATAGTTGGAAGAGAATCTAAACGATCGTAATTATTGCCGGATTGGCTGTTTGCCAAATGACCGTAAGCTCATGTAATCGTGGAAAATCCGTCATGATTTGATTTGACAGTCTGTTATAATTTGCTGTGTAAGTTAATCGGAAAATTCTTATATTTTTAAAATAGAATAAATTTCTAATGGATTATTTCGATGTGCATCGTGGCTATAAGAAATAGATTTATCTTTGAAACTTTGATGATTAGTGACAAATCATAAAAATACATTTTTAATGTATAACATTTTAATGTATAACAGACTGTCAAATCATTTTAAATATTCAGAATTAATCTTTAATTGGCAAAAATTTTGTATTAAATAATTAAAATCAAAATTCAAAGATTTTGTGAAACTATATTCTCCCTCTTTAGGAAAACGAATAGACAATACAATTTATATTCTATATTAATTTAAAAAAATATTTTTTTTTATAAAAATCTCATAGTGTTAATCTTCAATATTAATCTTTGTTAAATTTTATGCAAAAATATATAATATCTTTGCAATTTACATAAATTTTAGAACTAATATGTAAAATACATAATAAAAAATTTTATATTTATAAAACTTTATATTATTAGAGTGATAATTATTGTCAAATAATCATCACTCTCAAATAATACTATACTATAAAAATTTAGTTAATTATAAAAATGTAATTTGGAATAATGAAAAGTTGTGAAAAAAATAACAAAATCTTCATGAGATGGAGATCTAATCGAATTTTGAGTGAGAAAGAGTAAATTTCAAACTAGTCACATAATTTGTATATGTTCTCTTATTGTATGTATAAAATCATGACTATATTTGCTCTTATCTCTTACATCGCATTGTAGTCATAATAATGAAGTGAGATGAGAGCAAAAAATATTATACAACAGCACGTTTACATCCTAAATACAATTTTCCAAGAATTACTTCACTTTCCTAGACATCATGACTGCGCCATCATTTCTGAACAGTTATAGTTTAACAAACTAAAAACATAAGAACATTAGAACATACGTACATGTACAAAAGAGTCTAAAAATCTAAGAAACTTCTAAAAAGAAGCTAAAGATTTTCTTTCATAATTTAAAATCCAATTTGTTCACTCCATTTATCTTCTTCTTATCATATATGTTTCAATTTTTGTAACAAATGTACTATGGACTGTGATGTAAAATGTATATCTTACCGCACTGAAGATGTTTGAAGACATCACTGAAATGTACAAATAACTTGCAATTCTGACACGTGAGCTTATTTACGCGTTATCGGCAACAAAGAGCGTGATCACGCGTGTCTCATGTCGTGACAAGATCATCGTGTCCACCGAGGACGGACCATGTACGAAAATACATTTACGTGGAGCAAGAAGATAAATCGAGGTGGCGGCGAAAAGCAGTCGAGTTGCTTCGTTGACCTCCGTTCAAATTAGAATAATGTCGCGAAGAGAAAACACCGACAGCGAAAAACTGGCCGACACATAGTACGGCGTTTTCCCAAAAGCATGAACAAATACAAAGTTATACAAATTTCACGTTTCTATCACTAATTTGATTCATAAATCATCTATATTATTCGATGTATAAACGTTTGGAAATTAATCTATTGTGATTGTATATCATTTATCCGTTCAAAATTTAAGTTTATCCCGAACAGCGAATATGCGAGTACATATTACTTTTCTCTCGTTTTATTTTTAAATAAGAAATTTTATTTTTGTTCACATATTTGTTTCTTTCTCGTTTCTTCAAATGTCCTGTCACTGTACGATATTTCGTCCCTTGAAGCTCGTGGTTGTCTCACGGAGATAATTGCCAAAAGCTCGAGAAAATGTACGTGTCTCCTCAACTATGTCACCATGCGACACAGCACGAAAAAAGTTCTCGGTTGAGTCCGATTTCAGCTTCAGTTAAATTCGGACTGCACTAATATGTAGGCCGGTTCATTTAAGATTTAGGTTTGCGGCCGTCAATGGAAATTAGAAGGGTGGAAATAGAGTTATATTTTATTTCACGACGTGTACGATACAAACGTTAAAGAAACGTCAGTAAATAATTAATAATTTTTCCCACATTAAAGGGAATATTTTCAGAAAAATCAAGAGAAAAGATTGAGTTAATAAATTGATAATTGATTTTCTATTCAAATTTTAAATTATATTCTACGTGTTTTTTATCTCGCGATCAGAATTGCTCAAAATTGCTGAAAATCTTTCAGATTATATTTTGCTACATGTGCTATACAGAAAAGTAGTTATAATGAAAAAACAAAATGCGCAAGCGTAGACACTTGACAATAAGAGCGGGAATATAATTACTGAAAAAAGAAATTTTTAAATTTATTCTTCATCTTAAAATTTTCTTTTTCTTCTTCCATATTTTGACATAAAAAAAACGATATATATAAATATATTATTTTTTTCGATAAACTTACATTTTTAAAAAAGCTGCATAGTCGACTACTGCAGATCATTATGCCGACTATTTTTATATATGTAAGACTTGTTTTGCTCAAGTATCTGAAAATTTGGCCAAATCTGAAAAAATTTTGATATTAAAATAATTGTGCATCAAAATAATAGAACACTTAAACATAATGATAATAATAATTGTTCTACTCTAACAATCAATTTGAATATCCTTCAAAATTATTTTGATGGTCTAGAAAAATTATTTCCAGATCTGACTAAATTTTTAGATACAGGAAACTTTTAGGTTTTTTTCTATAAAAGTTTCTTACATGATTTTATTTATTTTTTTTATGCTATTAATTTATGTCAATTTATAATTGTTATTTTTACAAAATATTGTAAAAGGCAATAAAATATTTTTAAACAGATGTTTGCTATGATGGGAAACTTATATACTTTGCATATCTTTTCTTTTTTAAGTGAATTCCTTATTCCAATGTCTACTTACTTTATAATGTTTTATGCATAATGAGAGACAAAATTACACGAACAAAATTATATAAATAAAATACATAGCTTTGTTTTAAATAAATATGTAAATGTGTTACAAATTAAGAATTTTTTTTCTTAGTAGCAATTATATGTTTTCTTTCCACAGATGATAGAGAAACAAATATTTTATTTAAGAATTTTGTCATATTTAGATAGATGAAAGTTTCTATCTAAGGAACATCAGAGAAATGAATGAATCTAAGATTTTGTAGAGTAAATTCTATAAATGGAGATACGTTTCTGATAACAATTTCATCTCTGTCGTTATCTTCGTCATCATCATCATCATCATCATTATCATCATCGTCATCATCATCATCATCACCATCACCACCACCACCATCACCACCACCACTACCATTACCATCATCATCATCATCATCATCATCATCATCATCGTCATCATCATCATCATCATCGTCATCAGCACCATCATCATCATCATCACTACCAGCATTTGAGATTTTTTTCTATACGGCCTTTGTACCCTTCACTCAGAGGGGATAGCCTAAGTATAGACCCGGTGAGACTCCGGCCGAGTTCAGTGTGAAATCATCATCCTCTAGAATCACTTTCTTCGCGCCGGACGTGTATTTCCGCGTGGAAGTTCCGTCGCATGCCACGGTTTTAACTAACAAGAAATAAAGAGCTCGTCGTGTGATTCAAAGATTGTTTTCGCTTTCTCGGATCTAGGAACTTTGCAGAAGAAAAATAATCTGAGACAAAACAATCTGAGAGAGAAAGAGTATCACAATCACGATGGCATACAGCTGGGATAATCGTGTTAACTTCATAGTGAAATTTTTGTATGGTTAGTAAACGCGAAAGATATTGCAAGGATGATCGGGGTAGATTCAAAGCAGAGAAAGGCAATTAGAAAGATGATAAAGAAGCAATACGCTATGAAATCTTGATACCATGAAAAAAATAGATTATGAAATTTATATATATAAAACATTTACTTTGAAATAGATCATTTTATTTTATTTTTCATTTTATTAAATAATGAAATATATCCTCTTTTGGATGTGCATCGTACCAATACATCCCCTTGCATTGTCTTACATTCTCTATATGTTTTTCCTTTATATGTGTTTGATTATGTGTAGATTATAAATTACGTAGTAATAATTCACGTGGTTAATACTCAGGGTATCTCACTCTCATTATAAATGTCACACAAAATAATAGCAGAACAGCAAGTCAGAAGTGTTGAAAAAGAAAATATAAAATGTAACGTTTTTTATTATTTTTTACATAGAATATAAAGATAATTAAAAAAAATATCTTTTTTTAAATAGTAATATAATAATAATATTTGTACTTATGTCTTTCTTATGTTTGTGATGTTTTAAATAAAAAATATTTCTTGTATAGAAATTAATTGCATTATTTAATATTTTTTTATATGAAATGACAGACAGTTTTTAATAAAAGCATTTACATAAAAATTACATAATTTCCATATAAAAGAAAGGATAATTGCATAAAAAAGGAGAATCATTTATCGAGTTTTTTGTAAGCTAGTCGTTAAAAATAACATGCTGCGAAATATTTCATATTTTGTTAGATTACATTATATATAATTACATCTTAATAGAATATTATTTTGCGAAATATAGATTTTTTTAATTTTATCTAAATAATTTCATAAAAATTCTATAACTAAAATCTATAACTAAATCTCTAACTGAAAAAACTAATCTATATAAAAAGAAACATGTATATCTTATTTAAAAAAATAAAATAATATTTAAGAAATCTTAAAAAGTTAAAGAAAATATGTTTCTTTCAAAGATTCAAAGTATATAATCATTATTATTCTAATAAATAACAAAGAAATTTCCTATTATATTCTTTTTCTTTATTTTTAAGCAATAATTTTATATGGTTTCATTTGTGAGACATCCTGCTATTGTTCCATCGGAAATAAAAATTTTTAATATAAGACGTGTTATTTAAAATATAATATAGGAATACATAAGCAGTTTGGTTAAAAAAAAATCGATTGTGACTACAATTGATCAGGAATTATTCAACATAAAAATAATGCGGTAAAAATGGGACATTCCATTCATAAAAGTCCATAGACCAAATAAGTGCTCTTAGTGAGAGGAACATCCTGTATAACTGCAGATATTGATAACAACGGATATTTGGACAAGCACGATTTCGAGTGTATGGCACTGAAAATGACGCTGATTGAAGGCAAGGGCGAATTCAATTACAATCGATACCAAGAAAATCTTCATATTATGCTCTCCTTGTGGGAGGAAATAGCCGATTTGGCAGATTTTGATAAGGTATGTTATAAGACATTGTTTCTATATTACAAAACAACCGGCTATCTTTCTTGGCACAATTTAGATCTTGCACCGGTTTCAAATTTGTCGGATTCTTTAGGCGCTCATGACTGTAACTCGAGATCATCCGTCTTTGTGGTTTCTTGCATTCCAATATAATTATCTTATAGCAGTTTATTAAAAATTTAATAAGAATTTTATAAATATACAAATAAACAGTTAATTAATTAACTGTTAATTTTAACATTATTATATTATTAATTTAATTTATTATTGATCCGATTAGTTTTAATTAATTATTGTAATAAGTTAACAGTTAATAATTATTTAATTAATTTCAAATTTGTTTTACATTCAAGAAAACATATATTTATAAAAAATTTATAAATATATCCTCAATAATTATGCTAAAATCATTTAAAATTGGATAATTTTTATATGGATTTCAAGTAAATTATTATTTTATCTTTTGATAAAAAACAATATTATTTACATAAATTTCGCCAACTCTTAACTTATGTTTAACTTATGTTAAATTTGGCTTTTCGTAAATATTTAAAAAATATCACAAATATTTTTCTCAATTTACTAATAAATAATAATTCTTAATCTCTGAGATTTTAATAAATAATAAAACACAATTATACCGCATCATAAAATATCCATTCTATTTTATATTAGCACAAAAAAATGTTAATCCTTTATTATATATTAAAAGAAATGTATTAAAAAATGTTTTATTTATGTATTATTCTTATTATTTATGTATTATTCTTTTCTTCAGGATGGCGTAGTAACGATAGAAGAATTTAAGAGGGCCGTGCAAAATAGCTGTGTTGGGCGTTCTTATAATGATTTTCCTCAAGCTATGAAGATGTTTATCGATAGCCATTTCAAGATATTGGACATGAATGGTATTATATTTTTATAAATGTAGGAAACATACACATCAAATAATAAATAAACGATATAATTAATTTTCTGCAAAATCAACAAAACAAAAATTGATAAAATCATTTTTTAAAATGAATTTTTTATTTTTATTTTTAACTAGAATTTCATTAAGATTATTTCATTAAGATTATTTTTGTAATCTTTGTTGCAGAGGATGGCGTAATTAATGCCGAAGAATTTCGATACGATTGTGTTTCAAGAATTGCCGTAGATAATGTAGATATCCTTGATAAAGCATATCAAAGTCTTTTAAACGTAAGTTACATCATTTACTTCATAATAAGAATTATGGTGAAATAATTCTCTTTTTCCTTTTATACTGTTGATGTAAATAAATCAATCTTTGCTTAAAAGAATCAATGCTCTAAAGCAGTAAATATTCTTAAAATATAATAAATTAATTTTCAAATTTCACTTTGGAAAACATAGT